CCTCTTTAATGAGGATAAATGAAGGTATTTATATGTCTTAGGATGCGTGCCAGTCCTAGGTTTAGGTCAACCTAGGGCTGATTGGGCTTCCACAAGTCTTTGGGCCTAGGTGGCCGGCTTTCCCACTTGGCATGGGGGAGGACACGTGTCGTGACACAACTAGTCCTTGGTGGACTGATCAGCACCTAACACGTGGCAGGCTCCTGTTGGCCCACGTGGCGGACACATGGCAAAACCTGGTTGGTCCACTTGTCAGTCGGTGATTGGTAGGGAAAAATCCCCTAATCAAAATCCATACATGTATACATACCAAATAAAATTATCAACCACTTAAAAATCATCTCACTCGATTCTCCTATATCGTAAAAATAATATTGTCAAAATAAAATTGCATAATTAAAATATTTTAAGCCTAAAACAAGAAAAACCTTCTCATGTAAGAAATAAAAACTTGTAAGAAAATTTCTGAAACAACTACTATCATCAGTAACACATACACATCTAAATTCCTTCCAATTCAAAGTGGAATCGTTTGACTCTTGATTTTGGAAGCATCCAATATAATAGATCGAAAAGCGAAGACAAGTCGAATTCAAGGTAAATTGGAGGATGAAATGGAGTCGTTTGACTCTTGAAATTGTCGTTTTTAATCTCTTTAGTTTTAAAAAAATGTATTCCTTTAATGGAAGTGGTGTTACTTATGTTTGTTGGGAGATGTAGCAAAATTTCAATTTCAGATTTACATAAACGCGTAATAGGTGTTGTTAAACTCATTTGTATGTGATATCGGTAAAAGTCATTACAACATCATGACCTGGTATGAGAATATATACTCCCTCTGTCTCACAATATAGTTTTTGTTTTCCTATTTTAGAGACCCAAAATGTTGTTCCTGTTTCTATTTTCGAATAGTATGTAAAGACCATTATACCCTTAATTTTTACTTTATTCATTGAACTTCCTAATTTACCCTTAACTTATCCACTTGCATTGTACTTTTATCACTTTCTCTCTCTAACTTTTGTCTATAATTGAATTTTTTACCTTTTTCCCCTTATATTATCCATTTATCCACTTGCCTTGTACTTTTGTCTAGTTCTTTTCCAATTCTCCTCCCATTTCTTAAATACCGTGAAAAAAACAAAATAGGAACTATATTATGGGACGGAGGGAGTATAAGATATGGTTTCGTCAGATCACAAAGAAATGCGATTGACATGTATGAAGCATATATCTCAAGAGGATTTTATACATTTGAATTATTGGGGTCCCTTAATGTAAGACATACTGATTTTGGGTTGTTTCCGTCATTTCATCAACATTCATAAACTTTTAATTGTATGTTAGAAAATATCTTGCACAACACGAAACATCATCACTAACTTCCCTCGTTCTATCAATAGTCTCATCGCATGTTTAAATGTATATTGGTAAGCCTTATATGCGTTGTCCTTACTCGTTGTAATAGCTAAATAGTAAATGTCGTTAATGACCTTAATTGATATTGCGTAAGGGCTTCTTATGCCAATAGTAACTTATGTTACTTACTGTCCTTTTGTTTGTTGTAAACTCAGTTTAATTAATGTAATTTCAGCTGTTTTTTTTTAAAAAAAACTCTTAAAAACTTTCAAAGAATTGATACAAGCTTTGACATATGGAAATATCAAAAAATATTTTAAACATATTTACTTAAAACCTTTATAAAGTCCATCTGTCTCATAATTAGACGATCATATAAAAACCCGCCTCATTTATTTATCAGACGGGTCTAACCCATATTATAACTATGGCGGGTCATGGCTTTTAAAGGCCTCCATTCCTATGTCCTAAGTCTCTGAGTTATTTCATTGCAGCGCACTCAAGTTCTCCATTGAAGCGCACTCAACGTTCTCCATCGAAGCGTTCTCCGTTGAATCTAATTCTTGTATCCCCCATTGAAGCAGCTTCTAAGGTAAGTTGTTTGTTGTTGTTATCATCACATCAATTTCACAATCTAGGGTTTATATTTGATCTAATCTAATTTAATTATCAGTGCTTTAAGTTTAGGGTTCGCAAATTTTTAGATTATGAAACATCATATCCAAAAGAAAAGAAAATTATGAGCGTAATTTGATTATTGAATCAAGTATCCCTAAAATTATGTATATTTCGAGATAATTCAATATGATCAAATCTCTTTTCCCTGGGCCTAGGGCGGCCGCCCCTCCTGCCCTGCCTCAGGGACGGGCCTGCAGCTAAAAGACAAAACAAGGGAATATTTATTCTAACAACTTAATTTAGATATTTAGCAGCTAAATAAAAGTAATTAGCATATTTAATCATATTCCAAAATGATCTCCTGTATCATACCCTCCTCCTTGAAAGAAGACTTGTCCTCAAGTGACACGTTGATGTAGATATCTATCGATTTTCTTGAAAAAAAAATTCTGTATGTTTCAACTTCTTCCATATCTTTGAGAAATACTTCCAAAGACGTACCAAAACCTTTTGCAATATAAGATTTTTAAAGCTTAAAAGAAAGACAAGTTTTGGAATCAAAATAATGAAAGCATATAAAAATAAATGTCCTCAAGATTAACATGTGGCATTGATTTTCCTTTAAAAACCATCGCTTATTAATAATCATATTTAGATTCTTGACATTCGCTTATAATACGAGTAATGATTCTATTCTGTAAGCACTCATTAATCCTGAATATAATTGTTACATAATACAAAAAAGCAGCATTATGTCTGGAGACAATGTGTGTAGCAAATAAAACCAATTAACCGAACCACAAGAAAACAGCGGCGGATCCAGGATTCAGGGAATGGGAAGAAAATGAGTTCATTCTGTTGATACTGGCTCTCCAAATGTTGCCATATTGGCCTCATTTAACTGTCAGAGGTTTCTAGCAAAGAGCAAATGAATTGTGTTTTGACATGAAAACATAACCAAATTTGTAAGTATTGTTTTGATCACAGATACAACGAACATGAGATGAACCTCACCCGTATTAGAATAAGTCGTTATATTATACAGAACCAAGCAACCAACCAACATAACTTTATCACTAAGAGTATGAGTATATGACATAAATGCTTAACATCGAAATGATGGTATAGAACTAAAGATCAGCTGATATCGTTGTTGTGTTTGTAGATGCTCAGTTATTAGGTCAAATCATGCAAAGAATCAAACTGTGTTTCATTTACAGCTAATTCAGCATCATCTAAATTACAGACACGTTTGAGAATTTGCATGCGAGAGTAGACCCAGTACTATAGTTTATTGGAGTATGACTGAGTTTAATTGATTAGTCAAAGTAAACTACTCCCTTCATTAAATATATATGAGATCTTGTTACATTTGTAAAATTTTATAAAATTTAAAACTACAATTTTGAATATATCTTTGCTATAATATATGCATTGGAAGCTGTATAACAGTTAAATGAGACAAACAAAAAGAAACAGAAAAGACAATTGCTTCCATAAATTAAACTTGCCAAAAATTCTTGTCTTAATAGATCAAATTGAGCTAAACCAATATGAACAATCCATTTTTTACCTCTATCAAATTTGCGCGTTGAATTCACCCACAGAATCATATAGCAAAAGGTTTAGCTTGTGAATTGACATACGGAGTATATATTGATTATATTCAACATGTGCATCATCTCTGCGCTGAACAAAACAGCTTGAATAAACACTTTTCATGCTACTAATAGTTGGATAAATTAATGGATGGTGCTCATCTGTAATTTTGAAAGGAATAACATCCAGCAATTTGGTAAGTCGGTCGATTCCCTGAACTAAAAGTAGAAAATTTCATTCAGAATCTATACCTTCCAGCTTTCAGTCCAATAGTTACAAAAATTTGAATTCTCTTCCTACATAAAGTATATTCTTCTGTCATCTTATATACGAAGTAATAGACATGAACCTCCCTAGTTCAGTAACTAGTTTCCTACTCGAAAAAGAAACTTAAAAACTTCTGAATACCAAGAACTGATAACCATCTAGGTATCAGCAAGATGGCGATGAAGAGGATTCTTAAAGAGCTTCAAGATATAAGGAGAGATCCTCCTACATCATGTAGTGCAGGTTGTTAATAACTCCTAATACATAATTTTGCCATGCAAGTAATCTTGTCTTATCGAGAGAGGACTATCTTCACTCAGCCCAGTTATTGAAGAGAATCCTGATCTCAATCTCAGCTAATTTGTGTGTACTTATATTGTTCATTTCTTGATGAATTCAGGTCCAGTGTCTGAAAACTTGTACCAGTGGCAAGCGACAATAATCGGCCCTGCTGATAGCCCCTATGCTGGCGGCGTCTTCCTTCTAAGCATTCACTTCCCCAGTGATTATCCCTTCAAACCACCAAAGGTATGTCATTGCTCAGTTTATATCAAACTCTGTCTTAGTAATAGTGATTTTATTTTTACTAAAACTTTCATGAGCATAAAAATCTGTAAAATTGATGACAGATTGCATTCAGAACCAAAGTGTTTCATCCAAACATAAACAATAACGGGAATATTTGCCTGGACATCCTCAGGGATCAATGGAGCCCTGCTCTCACTATATCCAAGGTTTTACTATCAATATGTTCTCTACTTACAGATCCAAACCCTGATGATCCTCTTGTTCCAGAGATCGCTCACATGTACAAGAAGGATCGAACCAAATACGAGACAACAGCTCAGAGCTGGACGCTCAAGTATGCCATGAATTAAGCGCTCAAGTCTCTCCTTAGAGCATCAAGTGTCTTGATATTCTTCCCCCATTGTAACACTTCAAATTCAAACAAGCCTTTTTCTATGGCAAGGAAATGAATTTTATTACCGATTCAGTCTCATCTTATGTATTTTGAAATTCAAGTTGATGAATAAATTGAATTTTCACAACAACACTGTAGTAATATAATGTTAAAACCTTTAATGTGTGGCAACAACGATTAACTTACTACTTATAAAGTGGCAATTTACTTGGAATCGGCACCATGCAGTCGTGTATATAAGTATAAATGGAAAATCCCTCCAAAAAGTGGTAAAGATAGAAAGGGGAAAATATACACCATTTTACCAGTCTGTGCAACCAAGTAATGCCGCATAATGAAGCAACTTGCAGACACCCGCAAATTAAAGAAAACTTCAGATGCAGTGAGATCATAGTTAGCATAAGAGACCTAAAACCATGTCCTCAGGACGAGGTCAAGCAAACAAGTCTCCCATCAGGGAGACCTAACTAAACTGGTTACAAAAATACTCAATTTAATTAACTTGTGATGCGTGAAAATGCCTAATTACATGCAATCACAGGTTCAAGCTTTGACAGGTTCATATTTCTCACTAACTGCGCCACCTTTTTGCTTTTGGAATTGGATGTATCGCAAAGTACTTGCAAAGAAAGCCTCGGCAGCAGGATCTGTTGCAGCATTATCACTTTGGTTCTCCGTGGTAATTAATTCCATTAGATCCTGGATTGTATTGACAGTGATCTGGTTGTTTCCCTTCTCAAAAAAATAGAGGTACCTAAATTTGAAAGCAAACTCCAAAGTTAAGGTATACCGTGATTTATCATGGAAGTTCAGGTATCCAGTACAGACAACAAATTTTCTAGCAAGGAGAGAGCTTACTTATTGAGGATTTCAATGAACAGCATAACTGATCCACCACTGCCCCGTGTAGCATTAGCCATCTGTTGAGCAGCATTTGCAATTTTTAGAGCCCGCTTCAAGCAAAGTAGAACCCTGCATATAGGAAAACCAATTAAATTGAATTTAAGGAATTACAACAGTAGTAAAATCATAAGTAATCATCAATATTCATTTATTCAGTTTTGAATTGCTATTCTTCAAAGAGTATTAGGGTTCAGTGGCTGCTACAAATTCCGACATATAGAGCATCATTTTCTGTTTCTCTGACAACATAAGCTTAACTTTAGTTCTGTGGCTCATAAACTAAAATTTATCCATCCCAACTGTTCAGCTAGGATCTGGAGATACATACGTTATGGATTTCCTTGTCACAATAAGGTCAGCTTTAAAGAGACACTCTGGGTAACGGTATAAGGTATTGGTGAAGCATTGATAAACCTATCTGCCACATTTCCCAGCATGGGGCAGCTATAATACTTGGTAAGATGCGCAGAGGTAAATGACTCAACTAAATTTAAAATTGTCATACACAACACAAAATCCCCACAATGAGTAAAAATATAATGAAACATACCTCTCTCCATCTCTAACACCATCCTGATCATCCGCCCAAAAGAGATGAGAGCATGCATAAACAGCTCTACATTGATCAGGTTTCTTTAAAAGCTTTGCAGAGTACTGCACATGTCAAATGGGTACTAGCTTAGCACAAATAAACAGTATAAAACAGGTCATTTAACAGCACAAGAAAAGAGAAGGCTTTGAATAATACCCCTGTTGCTTTGTGCGTCAGAGTATCTCTGTTCTCAACACCAAAGATATGCATCCTTTGAAGAGTACCTATTATTAGGTATAGTGCAGTCACCTGTTCTCTGGAGCCCTAAAGAACACAAAAGCACAGAGAAAAAGATTAACCTACAAAGTATAAGAATAGATGGACTGGAAAACCTAAGAACAAAAACCATCCACTGAAAATTCTATTACCGAAATTTCTTCCTCGTATAATATATATGCTTGAGTGAAAAATTCACAGGCGACAGGTTCCAAATCAGAGTCATTTGCAGCCTGCAAGACAACAAATTACTTGATGACAGATTTCACATAAATTCATTCTAGCAATTTACGTTGAGGGTTTAAAACTCACCTCAGCACATTGCAGGTACAACCGCAATGCGAGCTCAGGAGCTGGAACATTTGAAAGAGCCTCAATAAGCTGAAAAAGAAAAGGCAAATATTTGCCTAGCCATCTTAGATACAAGGACTCATACAGAAAATGAGAGTTAAACAAATGACAATGAGCAAACTGTCAACAAAAGATAGAAAATGTATATACAAGTACACAAAACGATGTAATATTAATCCATACACATCATCCTTCAGTTTTGAAGTTTAATTGTTGTCAGCTGTAATATTTGAAATCATACACTGTAAGGATGATACAATTTAATAAAAGAAGTTCTCATCATATCATATATTGTTAAAAGGATAAGCATGATTTATATGTAAAGAGATGGGGAACATTAACAGCATCCCATCAATTACACACCAAGCACACTAACCAGCTGTCAGTTCAACTATGAAAAAAGGGCATACTTTGGGATGAAGATAGTTAAACATTTTAAAAAAATAAAAGGATCTTAGGATATAATGAATAGTAGAGAAATAATAACCAAGGAAAGTATACGAAAAAATTCAAATTTTTTATAAGAAATCCATACTAATATAGTACAGAACAAACAGCTAATGTTACCGTTGATGTATGTTAAGAAAGAGTTATCTAAACTTTCAAACATTAAAAGGCATGACACACGGGGCACTTGCATGATATATATATTCAAAGATACCTGATTCAAAAGCTGAAATATTTTCTTCGGCGTACCCTCTACTTCATCTCCAGATTTATCCACATCTTGGTTCTGAAGCCTTCTAATTAACTGTTTAAAGCAAAAGATGAGAATTAGAAAGGTTCAGCAGAGTATAGCAATTGACCTGTAAATTTGTTATCTAATAGAGTCTTGGCTGATTAAGTACTGGCATTTTACAGGTACCAAATAACTTCCAGAGATAACCATGACAGTCATAAGTTACAAGTCTTACAACTTGGGAGGGATAAGATGTTTTTTTGAGAAATAACACATGAACAAATGAACGAGACCTATTAGGAGTCAAGAGTTGAGTAAAACCTTAAGAGAGGAAAAAACAAGGGGTGGAACAGTAAATGATAGACGTTTCACTCCACCAGCCAATATATGCTTCCGCACTATATTTATAATCTGCAGATCAACAATAGAGAAATTAGGTATACATGTTAGCAAAATAACAAGCACAATCCTCTATTCCACTTGGACCTTTTGGCAAACTTTTTTTAAAAGGAAATGTGTTTACTACCCAAGCAACTGGGAAAAAAAAAAAAAAAATCATTACAATGCAGCTTTACGACCAAACATTGCAACAGGAAACTTTTCCACATAGCAATGAGCTTTAGTTTTCATAAATGTCACCATAAGAATGTGAACTAACTTTTATTTTAACCAAGATAAACTGCAGCGGTATTGTAGTGGTATTGGGGCTAATTCAGCAAACTATATATACTTATGTCATGACTGGCTTTTGGTATACTCCCTCCATTCCAACATCAACATCTTTTCAGTTGTCAGGTTGCATGCAGATAACATTGGGTTAGTTATTGCAATGGTATTCAAAACTGACTAGTAATATTCCATTCATAATTTAAACTGACAAAGGACAACACATTGAAACTTTAGCAACAAATAACATTAAATACGCTGAGTTGTTGAGTGGACACCTATTGGACAGAATAAATGAAGAAACCTCATTAGTGAGAAGTACCTTGAACATCTCTTCTGGATCATCGTTGTGCAGCATTTGGATAAGGCGTGCTACAGCATTTTGTTCCTCCTTGAAGTCTTCTTCGTCATCCTAGAATATGACAAACATTCAATTTAACAAAAAAAACGGTAAAACTAGCCATGCAGAATATTGGGCATAAGCAAATCATTTGTTCAACAGCCTCAAAATCCAATAAGATGGTTGCATCACAAAATTGTTAAGTTTAAGAGCAAATAAGATTCGTGAAACAACAAAAATAAACATATCAAATAGACAACCAACTATGAGCAAACCAAAGATTCTAAGCAACTAGGTCACACTTAATACATATATATAAAAAATTACTCCGACTGACCTCATCATCAACAGCACCATCAGTGTCCTTGATAAGCCCTTTTATTAACTCAAACAATGCTTCGACCTACATACAAGATATCCCAGAGCATTAGGCAGGCAATATCAAAGCAAAAATTAGAAATGTGAATTAAAAAAATATACCTTATCACCCGTAGATATGTAAGTCTTGTTTTTCATAATACTTTGAATAATAATCTTTGCCATGATTTTATTTGTTTCATTGTCAAGGTATTCCATCACCCGAGGATAATTAGAGAGCTTCAAGGCAGTAATAACACTATTATATTTATCCAGCGGAGCACTCAGAAGTGCTACAATTTGCTTTGTTGCCTTGCTGTCAGTAAGTTTCCCAATAATGGAGAGTTTGTTGACGCAGGATCCCTGGGTGTAAAGAGAAAGAGCAAGACTTTGTATTCACCAAAATTAATGATAATTATATGGATGAACAACAATCTAAAGCAGACTACTGACCAGTAATAAGGATGTCCATATAGGATTCATGCATGGAAATTAATAAGAAAAAGCATCAAACTATCTCATAAAATTAAGGCCAATCACCCAAAGTTTCGGTGTAAAAAACCAACACTCACTTATATATATATATATATATATATATATATATATATATATATATATATATATATGTATATATATATATATATATATATCAGATCTAAGAAACAAAATAACCAAAGAATTATCTTAGCATTAAAGAAAATTTTGAAGAAAATCAGTAGGCCTGGCATTTCAGCATTAAGCTGTACAAAAGCTTCACTTTAAAAGAGTGGAGTGAGGGCAATAATCGATACACAATAAAAAGGAAGAAGTTCAGTTGCAGGAGGGGAACTTCCTGGACAGGAGGTTAGTCAAGATTTTAAATTAAGGATACTGGGTATTTGGAAAGTTCTGAAAGCAAAAAATTACTGTTGTTTTCCAAGTCTTGAGATGAAGGGTGTTCAATTGATGCATACTATAATAGATGCATGCAATTTATTGCTTATTCTGAAAATGACAAGTCCATATGCTAGATTGACTATTTCAGAGGAAGCAGATGTTTCTCAATTGCATGGAGTAAAAGTGTAAAACTGTCAGTCTTCATGACACTTATGTAGGAAGAGCCACAGGAATATTTGGGCAAGAATCTCAAAATAGTCTACAAAAGCAAAAAGCAACAAGAACCAAAAAAAAAAGGAAGGAGGCATTGGTCCAATATTGATACTATTGAACTGAGCACTGATGGATCTTGGCAACACTAACCTTTTAGCCTTCCACTTTATAGTATATTCAACCACCAATGGGATCTGTTCAACTATTATTGTATATTAAGTTATCAGCCTATTTATTTAAAATATTAACAAGGGGGTCCAGTAAGGGGGTCTTTCCAAGATTTACACAATCATTTACCTCAGAAAGTTATACATGTTGTTAGTCAAACTTTAAGCATCTAAAATTTCAGCACCATTCAAAAAAGCATCCTAAGTTATACATAGCTTTGAATTACTTCTCTGCAGACTCTAGCTTCACTCTTGCCTAAGAAACTGAATTGTTGCTACTCTTTTTGGCTAATTAATTGTTAAAAAAAAAAAAATATGGCCGTGCTGGATTATAATAAAATAAAATAAATAAAAACTTTTTATAGCAAGTACATGTAACGAATACCTTGAGCAACAAGCTCAACAAGCACAAGGACCTGATCACATACGCAAGAAGGGGAAGAAAAGGACAGCTAAGGATGGAGTAGTGGAGCAGTACAAGGTAGCGGATCAAGCCATTCAGTGAGCAGCCAAGGACTGCAAGCATAACACAATGTGACAGCTGCAGCTTTTTTTTATTCTTGTCTTTATCTTCTTTTTGGACTGATTATGTATATATAAAAAGGGGAGGTAGGAACTTGCTTAGGTAGCTGAAGAATTGTAGTCATTTGGGTGTAGAGAGTTGTGTCCTCAAGACACTAGAGAGAGTGGTGGCCTCAAGCCTCCCTGTAAGAAAGTTTGTCCTTATTTCATGAATGAAATGGCTGCCTACTTCCCTCACTTAATCTTCCTTGCTTTCTAGAGTAAATTATAGTCAATCTAGTTCGTTACAGTACACAGAAAAGTTCCTAGGAGCAGTGCAATTTGATTTCCGCATAGTTAAATAAACAGATATTGATGCCAATCTGATAATGCTTCCCACAGAGATGAAGTCATGGCTTCCAATTACACACACTTTAGCTAAAAAGCATATAGCTTCACACTGTAAACTTAAATAGATTACACTAAAGAAATTCTCCAAGCAGAATACAAGTGCAAAAAGAAAATTTTGCAATCACTGATGGAAGAGGCACAAACACTACATGCTCTACTTAATAACGGATAGTGAAAATCTTACAGCAGTAAAAAGAAAATGTTAATGCAGCTTATCAGAAATATGAAACAAAAATCATCTCAGACAAAGGAAATCAATGTACTTGTGAACAAACATACCAATACTTGATCAGCGTAATCAAGTCGGTCAGGATGGACATGCAGGGTAAAGGTAAGAAGAGAAGAATACAAAGTCACAACAGCAACAACGGGCATATCAGTTTGTGCTTCTATGATCTGCATTTGATAAAAATACAAAATCAGTGAAATTAATATATACAAATACTAGTACAATAATACAGAATATCTCTTCCCCCTTTGGCCCTTTCATCTATTGAAATTTAACTTGAAACATACCAATGGAAAGAACATAAATATTCAAGAAAGAAAAAGCATGAGCCTAGCATTTCTACATGGTTGCACAACATCAATGGAAGCAATCCAGGTGTGAATACAACTAACCTTCCCAATTGCACTGTTTAATTTCGAGAAGGCATCCACTTGCAAGAAATCCGGCAATACCTGGAAAAACCATATTAGTGACAAAAAAACAAGAGGCAGCATAATTTTTGTTTGGATTAAAAAAAAAAATAGCTTGGATAAAAATAAAAAAAATAATAATATAAAAAGATAGCTTTAATGGAGGCATCACTAAACTCACCTCTGGACTTGAGGCAGCATAATTTGAAAGCCTTTCCATCAAACTGGAGAGAACTGACTTGATATCAACTGATGGCTGGAAGAGGAAAATAAAAAAAGGTTACAGGCAAATTTATTAAATACTTACTATGAAAAATTGAGAGAACATTACACATTTCAAAGATAAGAGATGTACATTACGGCTATGTTTTCCTCACAGCCTCACCTTATTTAAACGACATAAAACTTATAATAGCGTACCTCACAGCCTCACCTTATTTAAACGACATAAAACTTATAATAGCGTACAAATATAGTCTAAGTTTAGTCATATCAAGTGATAAGCAAAGATAAGATCATCAGACCTTCGAAATTTCAGACCAACATATGGTATTTCAGGTGAAGGGGCCATAGCCAAACTTTAGAAAGTATCTATAGAAAGTGAAGTGAAATTTTTACTCCAAAAAAGAAATCTAAATAATGGCATAATCATTCAAAACAAGGGTTAGAAATACATCCCGTCAATATTATAGTTCATTCAGCGTTAGTTATATCGACTTTTTAATGATACTCTAATTAAAACAAGGGTTAGAAATAATGTGTTATCTTGAATAAAATCCTTTGACCCAAACATATTGTTCTCCTTTTATGTCTGAATTACTGTCCTCTTTAGTAAATGATTGGATGTGTACCCAATCAACTTTCTTTATTCCCACTATACTATCATAGATTCATAGTATCATACTACTAATTAGCTTCTTTTCAATGATTACACTTTAATAAAATTAATAAACCTCATAGACAAAATCTTTGAGAAAAAAGTGAATATAAAAAATTATAATCTTCATAAGGGCTGCAATCATCCCTTTGGAAAAGAATTCTTCTTAGTAAAAGTATGCAATATTCTAACCTGAAACAAAATGGAATAAGCACTGAAAATTATAAAAGAAAGATGTATAGAACAGAGAAAGATAAGGCAGCCAGAAGGGACAATAATGACAGTTTCTCCTCAAGGCTAATCAACTAGGGGCATGGTGCAATCTGAAAAAGTTAAACCTCTATCCATTGTATTTGATGGTCATCTAATCATTACCAAGAAAACAATATTTTTGTATATGTAAATAATAGAACAAATGGCATATGGATTGTGGTGAATTAATCAGAGATCACTATGAAGCTAGAGTCTAAATAACCAAACGAAATAAACTAGAGCCCCAATTACAATTGTAAGAGCACATTTCAATTATCCAGAAGATCCTCTTGTGTGCAAGAAATTATGTCACTCACTCACTCTTATAGGAATGTGACAAAGGATTATCCCAAACAGAAATTAATTTGATACGGAATACTTCTTACAGACTTGAATCCAGTACAGCTGAAATGTTTTACATTATATCGACTTTTTAATGATACTCTAATTAAAACGTATGGGCTCTATGAGAGCACAAAAACAATGTAACAAAATAAATAATTTATAAAAAAAATTCCCAAAAGAAGCAAATCATAACAAGTAAATTTTATAGGACAAAGGATAACCTGGAGTTGTGGGCAGGCACCCAGCAAAGTATCTAGAGTTTGCAAGTGGTACTCATCAGGAAATACTTGAATTATGCAATCCATCAAATAGTACTGTGCAAGCTCATCCTTACAGTTGACTACCTGATAGCAATCATGGAAAAAATATTCATTGTAAGTAATGAATTTTAATGCGCAATTATAATTAAAGAAAGCCCTTTTACAAAAACAGACCTGTTCCAAGACTCTAGGAAGAACGGTATCCTTGTACATCTCCAGATCAACTCCCTCAATCTGACTTAGAACATGCAGATTTTTCCCAACCTGCACATCAAAATTCAAGGAACAAACCAGCAGTCTTTATGAGTGTGCACTAGGGATCCACAGCTCTATTGCTTCCATGACAACGAGTTCTAGGTTAATGGTATTACAAGATCTCGAAGCTCGCCTCTTTCCTTTTCCCTTCTATCCTTCTCCCGCGCAGGTCCCTGCAGACCAGAAAGCCCGATTGCAAGCCTCAACTCAGGATCAGCAAACAGTATGAATCATTCAAGCACTATAACCTGCATGATGACAAATTATGCCCTCATGACTGACAAATTACCTTCATGACATGCAAGGGCTGAGAGGAAACATCAAAGGGGCATACCTAGGATAAACAGCTATATTCCTAACCTTGGGAAGAACAAAAATATCTAAAACAATTTTAGTTGCATCCACATTCTGTACTAATATGTGCAAGACAGGAAACAAAAAATTACATTGCAATAATAGGATACAAGACGAATCACTGCATCAGCTCCTACACAAATTTCGTTTTTTTTTTTTAAAGTCAATCAAAAAGTGCAATTCAGAATGCGAAAACCATATTTTACAAAAACATAGCAAAAAATAAAACTAAAGTATCCACAAAATAACAAGACAGAGTTCATGGGCAGGTCTACCTAAAATGAACACAGTATTCACAGCATGCAGTCACATGCACAATTAAACAAGATGACAAAGAGGATAGTAAGCTAACCAACCTGGTACTGCATTCGCACCCAAAGTTTATTCATCTCAGTAAAATTTTGCAACACAAACTCAACTGCATCCATGACACTATCAGCATCCCTGCAAGAAACAAGAAGCGTTGATCCTTACCAATTACCATGCACAGCATCTTAGTTAAAGGCTTCACAACAAAATCATACAGACAATAATGAAGGCAAAACAAAAAGTGACTAGTACAGATTCCACAGCAAAAATGGACAATTTTTGTGGTGTCTTTTTACAGGTAGTTGTCCAAAATACCAGTCCTAAAATTTCCAATTTATTTTGAGGAAATATTGTGGAGGAAATCAGTAACAGAAGAACCTGCCATAGGCTTTTCGCCTATAATTGATTCAGAGTCAATTGCCTGTTCTTGTTGTATAGTTGATCAGTTCAAGGCTACGATACAAATCTAGAAGGGGCCATTGCAAATTTGCAACAAGTATGGCCACGTTTAGCAATTTGCATTCCTTCTACTAAGAAGTCGATCTCTGTTTTTAATGTTAACAGCTTAAGAACAAACAATATCCAAAGAAACTACTGTCAAGATCATAATGCTAAGAAACAACAGTGGTATGACTTCTAATCTTCTTCAAAATGCAGCACATTATAACCCAGCTTGGTGCAATAATAGAGCTACCAAGCTGCTTAGAGTGCTTACCATCATAAATTGGACAGAAATGCAGTAATAACACATTTACACTCACCAAAAAGCTAAATTTTGGGATTAGAAATTTGAAAACTTCCTTAGTTCTTACCCTTCATACTCAGAACCAATATCAGGTAACTTATCCCTACTAACTTGAGAAAGATAACTCCTCAAGAAGAGTCCTCGCAAAGGATGTTGAATTCCACGACACATTTCTACTAAATCCTTGAGAATATCTTTTGCAGGAGCTTCCTTTGATTTTATATATACACATCCAACCGTACAGAGAAGGTACCTGAAAAAGGGGAAATACTCAGTGAATCTAGCTTTCCTTAGTTAAGTGCAAAATCACTAGTCTGATACATGCAAAGTATTAACAAAAGATATTACATATAGCACCCAGTAGGAGATAAAACAGATTTTGAAAAAACAAGTAATACAAATAAGGTGAAGAAAACAAAGCCTTCATTTCTAAAAGGTGTCAACACTTAACCTATATACGCTAATCAATGTAAAAACTTTGAGCACTAAATCACTAATATCTCTAATTATATTTGTAAAATTTAAAAAAAAAATTGATATTTCAATAACACATATTGAGATAAACCTAACAAGACCCTACCTGAATATGTTTTTCCTTGCATATAGATTACAAAGATGGTCAAAGTGAAATTTGTGAATAATGCCAAAATTCAAAGTGTTAAAGTCTTCCAAAGAGGTAGTATTAAGCATTAGGCATCACAAGAAATGGATAAAAGGTCACAGCTAAAATGGTTATAACACGTTAAGGAAAAAAAAAATGACCAAAACTTACTGGGTTTATCTTAGACTAAACGTAGAATACTCAGTTTTCATCAAAAAGTATAAAATATTGAACCATAATTCTCCGTTCTTATATAATTGCAACATATAGAGAGGAGGACACCAAGTTTGAGTAGCCAGCATGGGTCAAATGTTTTAGGATGACAATCTACAGATAGAAGATGAAAGAACGAGCAACGGTGAATAGTAATTGCCTAGCCACTAGTATCTCTAAATTAACACAAACAACTTCACAAGAGGAAGAATCCAACTTTCGATTAAAATCCATCGCATGCACTTCTGTACATCAAATCAGTGTTTGTGCTATAACACACTAATTACAAGCACTATTTCTAGTCATTTTAAGCTAAATTAGAAACTCTCTGCACGCATTCCAAGCGAAGAATTAGCAACGAGAACATAAGGATACTAATAGCCATTAAAGCATCCACTACAGAAGAAACAGGACAAATCACAACCTAAATAGTTAAAATGTACTCTTAAACAACTAATCTAGAATTTAAACCTTGTCACTTCAATAACACCAAACAATTGTTTCCAATGATTAAAATTTGGCACTTACAATCGAGGTAAGATGTTGCCAGCATGCTGTACAAGCTCATAAAGTTCAATAATCGAACAACCTCGCTTCGTTTCTTCATGAAAGAACATCTCCAATTTCCTCAATTCATCAAACGCTCGCATATCTAAATTACTCCAAATAAATTTCACAACATAATCAAAATTTAAAATTATAAAAAAAAAAAAAAAATAATAATAATAATAATAATAATAAATAAATAAATAAATAAATAAAATAAAAAACACAGCATTATGATCATCATCCAATGAATTCCAAAACCAGATCACAGACTTACAAAGAGCGTAGTATTTATGAGGAGAAAGTCTAGAAGTGCGAAGCTCCGATAGCATCTGAGCAGAATACTTTAACGCATCTTTCATATTATTCGAATCCTTGAAGAATCAATACATACGATAATCAATGCGAGAAAATTAGGGTTTCGGAAATCAAATTGGGGAAATTGAAGGAGAGAGAAAGATTACCAGAGCTCGATGCATGTAGAAGGCGTTCTGTTGAAGGCCGGTAATGGCGGCAGAAAGCCATTTTTCTTCGTCTTCAACACCGTCTGCAATCATTTTCTCTCCTCGATGACGACGATGGAAGACGACGATGTGTGAAGAGAGTGAATATGATTTGACTAGTGTGATGTTTTTTGTGTTTGGTTTAACTGATTTTTCCTTAGCGTTGTAGAACAGCGGTTTATTGCTTCGTTGGTTGTTTAATTTTCCTCTTTGGATCTTGTTGTTGCAGTATTCGTTGTTGTAGCCGTCGTCTTTGTTACTCCGTATTTTATTTTTTTAACTTCTGGGAGGAGGAGCAGTGAAAGGCCTATGGCCTATTGGCCCTATCCCACTCGAACGGTTACGGTCACTTGTGCACCAGTCTAAAATCGAAGTGAACTTGTTTGGATTGGACCAAAATTCTTATCGTTATTTGATATAACCATTTGAGAGCAAGATTATTTAACTGTCGGGATTTTAAAGTGTACTTTAAAGTTCAAATAATTCAATTGATTAAGCGAATTGACATGACACCACACAAATTCCCATAAAAAAAACAATGAATTTGGCATCGAGTAGACTTCCATAATTCATTTATAAGTACTCCTTAAGGAAGAAATGTGGTCGTAGTATTCTTGAAGTTACTTCTTCTTTGGTATGTGTTATGTACAATACTTTATTTTCATGTGCGAGGGAAAATTAAACATTTGAGAAATTCATAGGAGACCAAGATTGATTTGATTGCATTTTTTGTTGGAGCAGAGAAAGTCAAAAGGAACAAATACTTTAAACATGATTTAATTTCAAGAGTACCATCACAAAATTTTACCAACTAACTATTTGACATCCACTTATAGTCTTATACTGCAAATTTATGTAAAAAAATCTGCATCAACATTTTATAGTAATAATAATATACTTAATTATATTTTTACATGTAGCCCTTTGACTTGCTATTTGCTTACTTTCTTTTGACTATTTACAATCAAGGAAAAATATAGTCACGTGAGATGTTGAAAGTTTAAAAAACCAAAGAATTTTAAAGACAATGAATAACATGTTCTTCTCCTTCTGAAAAATTTTCTATTATCTTATACTTTTGTGGGATATGATACAATTGCATTTGTATCAAACTTGAGTTAGAAATTTTGAGTTTTTTCATATCACAACTTGAGGTAATTATGAGTTTAATATTCACATTGTAAAATACCTCATAGGTTGAACAATGTGAATCTAGTATCCCAATATAAAAAATAAAAATACAACGCTACATTATATACACATTATATCAAAGATCTGCTAATGAAAACAATAAAGGTCAACACAAAATAAATAGAAAATCTCCATCAACAAGTACTAATAAAACTTGATTGTTTCCACAAAATAATTTTCGAGCTACATACACGTACAATCACATAATCGCACAAGCATTAGGATTCTCATCACTAAAAGCAGTTGTATACTTGACCTCGGTAGGGCTCTCAAGTGCCATAACAACAACTTCAGGGTCCGTAAGCTCAGGGTTCCGCACATAACCAGGTGGGGCCTTTTTGTCATAAACTCCAGGTGCATATGGGTGGACTAAGTGCTCAATGGCATCATATGGTACGTATGGCCAAAACTCCGCCTTTTTCCCAGTTCGATGCCTGACCCGATTCAAGACCTTATTTGGATCAACATAGCCCATAACTGTAAGTTTATGTAACTTGGGATCCACATCCACTTGGGTCACTCCTTTCATGCCTTCTACACTCTTCTTCACTTTTCTCTCACATCCTTCACAATCCATCCTTACTTTTATCTCCACAGTCTACAATGTATAGTATAACAATTATCATTAAAGTCAATCTCATTAATCCAATGACTTATACTTAGATCATGCAAATGTATATTTACTCATGTATCTAAATAAGATATATGATACAGTATAAAACATATTCGGGCCTTAACCATCAGATTAAACTTTTGGTTGAGTTGGTTTTTTAACATGGTATCAATAGTCAGCGTGACACAAAGGTATGCCAATTGACTTTCATGTGAGAAGGCGTGATAGAGTATAAAACATATTCCCGGGCCTTAATCGTTAGGGAAATTTATAACGACTTGCGAGGTACATATAACGATGATCTACCGTGTAATTTATACCTTATCTAACCATAAATTCGCTACTTGTATCTAATTGATTTGCGAAATGCAAAAACATGGTATATCCACTCTATAATGTACCCAAGACACTAAGAACACTCCTCTATCAACTTTCTAAATTTTCCACTGTTATTATTTGTATCAATGACAACATCTATCATTAGTTCTTAATACCAAAGCATTTTGCTTGAGTAAAAGACATTTTGGAGTATCTTTAATCATATACGCTACACTATCAAAGTATCAAGCACTATCAACGTAATTATTAATTCCGATTTCCAAACAGAGAGGCTAAAGTGATCTGAGCAATGACGAAAAAACTACGACAGTAAATACATACCTTGAAGGGTTTCCTTGTGATCTTGTGATGATGAGCCAAAACCCATTCCCAGCACTCGAATAAATAGTCCAATGCTCTCATCTCATTCACACTGATCGATGACTTAGCTTGCAACTTATAATTTGATTTAGCTTGAAATTTGCTAGTGCTACTCACATTTGCTAAGCTGAAATTGTGTGAGTTTAAGGTTCACAAATTTTACTTCAAAAATAAAAAAAAGTGCAGTGCTAGTATTAGTTTAAGCTCCCAGATATAGAAAGTTGACGAACCTTCTAGTTCAGCACTTCAGCTCAATGATACTGTATTGCTATAATTGAGTTTGAGACTTTTTATGCCTTTTCTTGTTATCTTGTTCATATCTAAACTATGCAAATCCAAGTAGTGGATATATGTGCCCAAATTTTCAAAAGGCTAGCCTGTACAGCCCAAGCCCATGTGTTATTGTGTTGTACTTTCTCCGTATGTTATTACTTACTCTATTTTTTTATGCGCTGAGTTTTAAAAGATATAGTAGAAAGTAATAAAATTGAAGGAAGTAGGGTTGATGGAAGAATAAAGTATGATAATTGGGAGGAGAGAGAGAATGTAGAAATATTAAAGTATGATAGTTGGGGGGTACATAAGGAGAGAAAAAATTACTCCGTGGTAAAATATTGTGAAAGGTTTCCAAAAAAAGAAATAGAGCTATAAGATACGGCCGCAAAAGGATAGTGGAGCAAGTAATAAAATACGGAAGGAGTATAATACTATTGGATTATAAATTTAGTATCATTGCATGCATATATAGTACCACTGAACGTTCAGTGGTATTATTTAAGATATGCATTTGTTTATGCATATTTGTAATTATATAAACGCCCCTTGATATGTACTCACCAGCAAATATAGTGTATACTCCCTTTAAAACACCTCCTTTTAATACTCCGTATTCAATAATCGGATGTACATTAAATTTATTAGGAAAATTTGCCAATTGTAGCCATTTAAAGTTTGTATTTTGTAAATTACAGCCATTTTAAAAAAAATTTGCAAATTGCAGTCCAAAAGTACTAATAAATACAACTTAATTTAATTTTTTCATCGATTTGCGTGCCGAAAAATATTATGTCAAGATTTTACGGGTCATTTTAGCCTTTAAGGCTCCAAATTGGCAAAAAAAAATAACGTAAGTGTCTTGTTTTGCGTATAAAAAATGTATCAATTTGTGTGTTTGCCGTGAAAACGAGACCCTTAAGTTAATTTTTTGCCAATTCCAAGCTCAATTTGGTCCCTTAAAACCTTAACGAAATGTTTTTATGCACGCAAATCAATGAAAAAATTGAATTGGGTTGCTATTTACAACTTATTAGAACTTTTGAGCTGCAATTTGCATTTTTTTAAAAAATAATTGTAATTTGCAAAATACAAATTTTTAAATAGCTGTAATTGACAAATTTTCCAATTTATTACACAGCGGATGCGCAAAAAATTTCGAGAACACAAATTGCAAAATGTGAACCCAACGCGGAGATTCTTGTCAGTTGGCGGGTGTCGGTTGGCGGAACGAAATTACCAGACCACCATCTCCTCCTTCCTTTCCCCTACGCTCAAGTCTTCTTCTTTCTCTCTCCTTCTTCAACTCTTCCATCATCGTCCTGCACTTTTCCATCTTTCTTTCTTCTTCCTCACTCCAATTCCCAAAACTCAATCGAATTCTCTCTCTTCAATTTTCCTCAATCACCCACCCAAAATCCCTTCATCAATTCCCAATCCTTCAATCATGTATCAAAACATAGGTGACACCACTACCAATTCATTCTATCCCCATCAATTTCATCAACCCACTTTTCAAAACCCTAACCCTAATCCCAATCCAATTGTTGATCCTTACGCTAATCAATGGCCTCAATCTTCCGCTTCAGCTCCTCCTCTTTCTTCTTCGTATGCCCCACCTTCCGATTACCCTAATTTTCCTCCTCCTTATGCTTCGCCAAGTTCCGATTATGTTCTTAATTCTGCCCCAACTGCTCCCCCTTCTTACCCTCCAAACCCTAATCCCCAATTTCATCCCCCTTCTTCGAATTACCCCTATGATCATAATCAACCTCCGTATTACCCTTATGATCATAATCAAGCTGCCCCCATTTCGAATTTGAATCCGAATTCATCGTTTCCGGGGCCTCAGTACTCGCCCCCGCCGAGTTATGACGATGGTGGTGTGAAATTTGATCGTTGGGGTGGGTTTGGGGAGCAGGAGCAGGGGGGTTATAGCTCACAGGGGTATAGTGATGACGGGGTTTATAGATATGAAGGTGGGAAGGTGGAGCCTTATGGAGCTCGAGGAACGGCTGGGTTTTCGGGGTCGGCTTCGCAGGTTATGTTTGATGATTATGGGCGGCCTATTAATGTTTCAAATGGTAATGACAATGGGAATAGAAGTAGGAGTGATCAGGGTGGAATGAAGGCGGCGCCAAAGGTGGTGAAGGCGATTCCGAAGGTGGATGTTGAGGAGGATGTTAAGGGTGGAGTGCAGAAGTTTCGTGTGAAAGTCTTAGCTGAGGGTTATGGGCAGAATGACTTGGATGTTTTATGCCAGGTATAGTTTTAGCTTAATTGTTCTCTTCATTGCTGCTTTTGATGATTTTTGTTCTATGTATATGCATATATACTTTGGGTATACATATTTTAGTATATTATCAATGTGAATGATATGTGTCCCTGTGAAATGAAGCATGATGATATTGTAATATTTCAGCTACTTCGTTTATGATTGGAATTAGAAACATATAGGTTCCATCCTTGTAATTCAGTTTTGGCGCAATTGAGTGATGAACATTGTTGAAAGCTTGACACTATGGGGCCCAAAACACCCCGTCGTCTAGTTTGTATGCATATTGATCTTTGGTGTTTGCCATTTTCTTTAGGATGTATAATCTTAGCTTTTGTGACAACTTGGTTTACATGGTAAAACAGATTGGTTTGGATGGTATTCGAATGCTTGATCCTGCTACAGGTCGGACGCTGAGAATTTATCCTTTTGAAACATTGACTAGATGGGAGGTATGATGGTTGCATTAATGTAAATCGAAGAAGGTTTTATTTTGATTTGCTTTACTATATGTTATTCAAACCTTCTGATTGTTCTACTCTGTAGGTCTTGGATTCCTACATCTTTGCATTTTGGGCCAAAATGCCAGTTGACATTGAACCAAAACGTATAAGGATTAAGTCGAACAGTTATACCACTAATACAATTTTGGACACAGTTACAGCAGCTAGTGTGCAGGTTAGTGACATTTATGTTATATCATATTATGATGTTCTCATAGATTTATGTTGTGTTCTTGGGACTTTTGATAACTTGTGATATTATTGTATTAGACTATTACTGTCCTGGTAATTGTGTGGCCTTTTGCATGTTTCTACATATAGCGTTGATGTCTTTTTCCGATGGTCTATTTCCTATCAGTGTATTTTCTTCCTTCCAAGACCTTCCTGTTCAGATTTAATTTAATGTACAGACGTACAGATGTATTATTTGGCGGTTTGGCCTGCGCAGATGTTCTATGGCATGTAGTTTTGTTTGTCTTTGCATTGCATCAAGTGATTAATATGGGCTATTATGTGGGGAATTATTAGACAGAGTAGATGGTAATCATGGTATCATGATTTCTTATTTAGTTATGAAACTCTTTGAACGGTGTGTACTTCCATTTTTGCACAGTTTTGGCAGCCTGTTATTAAGGAAAAAGGTAGTATAGAATAATGAAGTTGTGAAGTCTTTCATGAAATTTAATCTCAAATTAAATAAGTCTTTAATTTTAACCCAAAATATACCTTTTTTTTTTCCTTCTTCCTTATAAATAGAGATGGGGTGAAGTGTAATCAAATTAAGAATGGTTGCTGGCAAAGATGTATGACCTTATACACTTTGGATATTGATTGGATTGTATGCCTTCTTGCTTTTCTTTTTGCCTGACAGCATCCCCCCCCCCCTCCTTCCCCCGGGCAACTTCTTTCTACTGTTTGAGGGGCTTCTGTTGTTGATATATGCAATGTTGCCTATTTTGAGGGATGATTGATCATACAGCTATTTCACCAAATGCCACTGAGTTATTGCGAAATTCACCAAATGCCATCCAACTTTTCAAAATTCACCAAATGCCACCGAGTTTTAAAAAAATTCACCAAGTGCCATTAATGACTAACGGTTGTTAGTTGACCCACCACTTGCCACGTGTCACCTTCTGATTAGTCTTTTTTTTAAAAAAAGAAAAAATAAATAAATAAAAACTAAAAAAACCAAAAAAAAAAAAAAAAAAAAACAGAAAACCACCTATACCCCAGCCACCACCCCCTCCCTGCCGCCAAACCCCGAAACCCTGCCGCCGGCGACCTGCACCTTTACCGGCAGGCGCTCCGACGGCCTCCGAAGCAAGTCCTCCCCTTCCCCTACTCTTTCCCGTCGCGACCCACCCACCCTTAAACCCCAAAACCGAAACTCCATTAAAGATTCACCCACTTCCCAAAACCCGACCGAAAACCCCAAACCAGACCAATTGGTGGTTGAAGGGGGTGCGAGGAAAGGGAGGGGAAGGAGGCTGCCGGATTCTAAAAAAAAACTCAGCCAGCTACTTAACCAGTCCCCGACCCTGCCAAGACCACCTACAGCCGCCTCTGACTGCCGGTGAACACCAACCATCGCCCCTCAATGCCGGCGACCAACAACCCAGTACTCTAACCCACTGGCGATCCAGCCCTCTCCCTTCCCCTTACCGTGAAACCAACGCGACGCCCCAGCCCTAAATGTTGCGAAACCCCAAGAAATCAGCCAAACAGCCTGGAAGGAGTAGAATGGGTTTCGGGCTACAGCAGGGAAGGGGTTTCGGGGGTGGAGGAAGGGGTTTCGTAGGTTTTTCGTGGGGAGGGAGAGGGATTTCGTTGATGGCGGTTCGAGGGGAGGGAAATGGGGTTTCAGTGATGGTGGATTGGTGGTTCGAGGGAGGGGAGGAGGTGGGCGACGGCGACGGTAGGTCGAAATGGGCGGCAGGCCGACGGGGAAGCAGAGCTGGTGCTGCCGGGGGTTGGAGGAGGGGAGCTGCTGGTGGGGGAAGAGAGGGTGACTGGTGAGGGAGGAAGGGGGTTTTTATTATTTTTGCATTAACGGCCATCTAACGTCTAGACATCATTAATGGCACGGGGTGTTAATATGCTATTTGTCAGTGGCATTTGGTGAATTTTGAAAAGTTAGATGGCATTTGGTGAATTTCACAATTGCTCAGTGGCATTTGGTGAAATAGCTTTTGATCATATGATAGTCTTGAATGACATATGTTAGCTAAGTTAAGACATCATGCGTGTCCATACATTTGAAATGTATTCAACTTGGGTCTTGAGGTAATTATTGTGATGAATGTTGAATATTTTTGAAGTGACTTTTAGCTGTGTATTTCTCAACACTACAGTTGTCATTTCTCCAAGGAGTTGATCAGTTTTCAGTACTTATCTGTGAATTTGTATGATATTTTATTTTATAAATGGTGTCCCTTTATCAGTTTCCACTTTTGAGATGATGTCGTCATGTATTTAACTTTTTAGGTTTACCTTATCTATTCAGATCTGTAGACATACGCAACACCTTTTCCCCAATTCAAGTATATAGTTGCAGTTGGGCCTGTATTTTACCTCTTAATATGATGATTTTTCTAAATTATTTTTTTTAGATGTGTCACATAGTTATACAGTAGGATTGTCTTAGTTGCTCGTTATTTTTTACTTATTTATGCAAACTTGTTGACACAGCTCAAGGAGATTGGTGAAAGAAAAGATTCCAGCTCATCCAAGGCCTCTGAACAGCTTGCTGAGAGGAAGAAAGGTTTTGACTGGATGAACTTGATTAAATCTGCCAATGAGGAGAAAGATTACTGGGTTAGTCGTTTCTTTTACCCCCCCCCCCAAGAATCGAGAAGCGTAATGATGATATTTAATAAGTTGTTTCTTGTTCTGTTTACAATAGTACGATCACAAGAATTTTAGATATCCATCATGCAGCCCTTGAAATGCAATTTACCTTTCCCCTGTTTGTAAAGTGGGTTTTTGCAACCAAAAGAAAGGGAAACAAAAGAAAAGAAGGGGTGGTTCTTGCAATTATATTAGATTAATTACATAGTAGAACTTTGATAGGTGTTTCACTCTTGTTTGTGGAGTTAGCATCTTATTATCCAAGCTACTTTACTGAACCATTGAAGAATGAGGAGAGTAGTTTGAACTATATAATCCTGCTGCATAAATTACTTCCCCTCCCCACCCCTACCCCTACTCCCTCTCTCTTTTGACATAATTATTTCCTGCCTATGACACTACCTATGAGGCCTGATTCTCTTTGTCGGCGGTCATTGCCTTAAAGGCTTAAACAACTTTTCTCTGGCTCATAGTTTATCCTTGAATTGGAATGGGAATAAGGGTGTAATAGGATTGGAAGAAAATTGCTCTTAGAGTTCAATTTTCTCACTTTTATGCGCATTAAACTTGAGCTTACCGTCCATATGCTAATCAGGAAAGCCAGTATTAGTGTAAAGTCCTAGATTTCTTAAAGTTATATATATTTTTATATTGTTCTCAACCTTGTACAAAATAGGTACCTGATGAAGCAGTCAACAAATGTACTTCCTGCGGCACAAACTTTAACGCCTTTGTTCGAAAGGTTTGTGTTTTCAGCATTTATGATTATGATTCAATTCAAGCGTCGACATTTTCATGATTTTGACTTGTGTTTTCATGTTTTTTTTTTATTCCTATACCCACCATAGCATCACTGCAGAAATTGTGGTGAGATTTTCTGTGACAAATGTACTCAAGGAAGAACTCCGCTTACAACAGATGACCAGGCTCCACCAGTTCGAGTTTGTGATCGTTGCATGGTATAGTCAAGTGCTCCTTTTCCTTAAATGCTAGCTTCGCTGCGTAACTAAGGCTTTTTATTTAGTAGTCAGTAGTGGTTGAATTGTAGTCACCATGTTATTCATATACTCGCTGTTTCTGTTAGATGTCTAATTCTACCCATGTCTTAACAGTTTACGACCTTTACGTAGTACCTTTTTTAATCCATTTTCCACGTTATTTGAAATGTGATGTATTTTGATGTTTATCATTTTTTTCTGAACTGAATCTTCCCTGTTACTGAAGTGTATTTTTATTTTCTGTATATAGACTCATGTACTTGTTACCTGATGTTTGATTTGTTACAGGCAGAAGTCACCCAAAGGCTTACCAATTCTAGGGAGGCTGCTGATAGAAGTGGCTCATTGCTAAGTCATGAGGATTTGGCTAAAAAACTTAAGGTGACTTCTATGTCTATATCTTACTTTTTGTGCTGTGTTTTGATAAGATAACAAATTTGTGTTTGAGGCAAATATTTTATGCAGTTCTCCTCAATAAATCACTGTAACACTGTCTAGTTTCTTAAAATGTTGCCAATTCTATACTTTCTGAGTACCACTTGAGTCATTTTTAGTTTTTTTTGTTTCTCCTCAATATTTTTAGTACCATTCTTAAAATATTTTTGTTTTGAGCTTGCAATTTTTTATTTTTTATTTTTAATTTTTAATTTTTTTATTTTGCTAGTTGTATGGTTCTTTAGTTTATTTCCTCATGTAATGGTGTTGATCTTTATCTTTTTTGGTCACTTATCCGGTGACTAAAATGTCCCAACTGTATTATGGACCCAAATATGGAATATACTAATTAGGGGCCTGAACCTGGGCCTATTGTGGCTGTGTCCGAATACATAAATATGTACTAAGTTGTCCTAGCAGTGAAGCATAGGCTCTGCAACGTGTCTACATTGAGTGATGTCTTGCTTTTGTAATTTACTTTGTAGTATAAAGCAGCACCTGCCTTGGCTACTAACTCTTTGATCAATAGCTTCTATAGTTATGCACCTTCTGGATAGTTCATGCTTCTCATATTGGATGTTTATTCTATTCTAGTTCTCGAGGAACATATCTCAATTGTGATAGATATGATCTTATGAATGGAATACTGACAGTTGCTCACGTTATTGATTTGATCAGGAGGAGATGAGCAGAAATTCGAAGTCATCAGCAGGTATTCATAGTTTCCAACTTTCCATTTTAAATTATTTTTTAGAAGGGAGTTTTTCACTAGAAAATCTGAAGATGGTTAGATATTCTAAATTATAACAACATTTAAATGCCTCAGCTTATACCTGATTCATTCTTCATTTTAAACTATTATTCCGTGTATATGACTAAATTGGGACATAAACAGGTTTAATGTCTGAAGGGTCTCAGACACAAATGAGAGATGTTGCCTGTCCTACATGCACAGTTCACCTGCAGGTTTGCAATTACATTTTCTTTATCAGGGCTACTGCATGTGATAAATCTTGCTTTACCTTCCTTTAGCTTTCTATTGTGGGATCTCTGGTTGCACAAATTATTTACAAAATACTTGTAGATAACAAGGAACTGATTGAATTTGGATGCAGGTTGAAGTACCAGCATCAGGTTCAGAGACGATAGAATGCAGTGTATGTCAACATCCCTTCTTGGTAAACGCCCACTGATATACGAAAGCCATTTAGACCCCCTGTAAAAACTAATATCCATATATAAATATATTGTTTTGCAACAATATCACGAATCACGAATTTCTTGATTGTATTGATTGAAATGAGTTCCTTGTAATAAATGTTTGGTATGGGTTGAGTGTTTTTGTCCATACATTTCTTTGTTTGAAGCTTATAGTGTTGTACCATGCAAATTTAGTGTTTTTTTTTTTTTTTTTTTTTTTTTTTTTTTTTTTTTTTTTTTACCAATGTAAATATATGATATATAGTATTGTCATATGTTTTAATTATGTACATACATTTTCATAATTTTATGAGATTGCATTTTGTGTACATACATTTTCATATTTTACTCTGTTATGGCTGGATATACTCCGTTTCAATTACTAGTTCCCAGAAAAACTGCAAATGATGTTTCATTTTTTTCAGAATAATATTTCAGTTTGAGTCGCTTTAAAAAACAATTTGGATAATTTATTTGTTACGTATTTGGTACTACTAGTTTGATCAATTTTTATTCCATTTTGTTTTATTATTGGGTATAACTTAGGGCCAGGCAAGCCCAAACTCCCTCTGTCTCCGACCACCTCGAAGGCTAGAAACCCCCATCCTCGACACTTATTAGTTAAGATAAAAATATTTAAAAGCTAGTATTTCATACCCTTTTTTAGGGTACTCAACATGACTATTAAAAGCCAACTTCTGACATCCTCTCGTGTTGCCCAATCAAATTGGCTAGGGTAAAAGGTTAACATAAGAAGGGGCGAAGCCAGACTTGATCGAGGAAGGGCCGGTTTAATTAAAAATATAAGGTCATATGGGTTAATTCAATAAGTGCGAGTAAGGCGAAGCACCACAGGGGGCATAGCCCTCTTAGGCCCCAACTAAGCGTTGCCCTTGAACATATGTGGCTAAATTAGACAACGTTGTAAGTTTTAATTCACGCATGTGATCTGATCGAACTAACTCTTTATGTGGAAAAAGTAGTGGATGCATATCTTATCTTGGAATAATTTAACATGTATTTTATTTTGGGATAATTTAACATGTATAGTTTGTATTTTCGTATAAATCAAGATAAAGATTTTTTTTTAATACATGGGTGATGTGTCGATATGTTGTGATCAGACTATGTATTTTCTGTAGAAGTAATAGTGAATGCAGATATTCTATTGAGATGTTTAGATGTAATATATATTTCTCTATCATTTATTTTCATATAAGATATGAGTTATTTGTCAATAACTCAATATGTTTGATTAGGTTGTTCTCCATGAAAATTTTATAGTGATCTGACCATATATATATTTATGGGATGTTTTGATGAATTTTCCATTATTCTAACTCAACATAGATTAAAGTTAGAAACTGATAAACACACTTTACTTAGATGATGAAGTGGGGGATAAAAGAAGGTAATGGGAAAACTATCAAACACAGTTAATTTAGCAGATTCTTGATTATGAGGAATTTAAATATGATGTGATTATACTTAAGCTCACACTAAGAAATCATAATTACAATTAGATTAATTAACTTGTAGTTGATTTAAGCACTTTCACCTTTGTACTTTAATCATCCTTAGCAGTGAGGTAAAAGATAAAGATATATTGATTTAAAGTAGAGTCATTTAATCTGGAAAGATCATTTTGCAAATATAGAATAATCTAGCAATTTAAAGTTCATATACAATATATGTGTATAATATATAAATGTGCAATATATTTATAGGAAAAGGGGCATAGCTAGCCCCAACAAAACTAGCTAAACCAAGCTACAACAAAAGGATCAGGAGAAGTACACTGTAGAAAGAAAAGAAAAACAGAGACAAAAAATGCAGCTACTCTACGACATGCCTAGTCCACCTCTGGCACCATCCTTGCTCTATTAGGAGATTTTATACTTCGTTTAACAAGATATCCAAAAAAAATTTAATTATTAACTCAATTTATTTTTTAATAGATAAAAGTTTAATTATAAACTCAAGATATCCTTGTTCATAAACGTTTTTTAAAAAAAAAAAAAAAAATTATATAGAATAAACAAATTTGTTCATTTACATTTGATTAAGAATCACAAAGTAATTTTAATTGATTTGAATCTGCTTTTAAAAAATGTTTTGCTGTTCTTTATTCATCGTTGTTAAAAGACTTGTTCTTAAGACTATGTCGTTTTAGTTATTACTCCAGATAAATAGATTAGTGATGAATGTACCAAGAAATAATAATAAAAAATGGGAAAACTTGCAGTTTTTTGTACAAGCAGTTGAAGATGTATGTGCAGTCATTGAACAAATCGATCACTTGCGTAATCATGTACATGCTTAAAGATAGAAAGCCACTAGTTTTATTTAAGCACTATAATGCCTTGTTTAGTTCAACTTATTTTTACTTATTTCAGAAAAAAATAAGTTCAGATCAGATCATTGTTTTATGTGCAATTTTTTATCGCTAAATATCTTTAATTTCGTAATGAAAAAAATTATGAAAAATTACATATTAATAAAAATACACATTATTACGAATCTAACAAGATCCCACTTGATATATTTTTTCCTTACAGATTATTGTACACTTAATGCCAAAGTTTGGTCAAATAAGAAAATAAAATCAGATCAGACCAGATCAGATCAGATCAGATAAGATCAGATTAGATAAGTTCAGATAAGCAAAAATAAGGTGAACTAAATAGGGCCTAAATCAAGACACAATTGCACAAATCAATAACTATATACTAAAAGACACACCAGCAATGACACATGTCGATTTCTGGTGTGTTCTTAGTATATTTTTTTTAATAATTAATTACTAAATTTTATTTAAGGAAGTTATTTAAAAAAATAAAAAGTGTTTTTTTGTCAACTATATAAATGAGCAATAATATTTACCATTTTTATGTTGATACTCAATTAATTATGGAATAATAAGGAATATATAATCTTTTTCTAGAAGATTTATTTTTGATGGAATATTTTTTAAGAATATGATCTTGATCAAATATTCCAAGTTACTTCAATTTTGTTCAAGATATTAAACAATTTTTATATTTTATGCTATAAATAAATTAATTTGTCAAAAGTAATAAAAATAACGTACCGTGTATGGCACGGGATCTAACCCAGTTATGTAAATAATCATCATCGTTGGTTATAAAATAAAAAAAATATAATTTGAGAAAATGATATAAAGTGATAATTCATGATTATAAAATTTTCAAATTATCATTGAATGCATAAACATACTCCCTTCATTCTTTAAATATTATCCTCGATTTGAATGTGATAATCTTTTAGGAACAAGGGAGTATAAAGGTACTGTCTAGAAAACATAAACCCAATATTATATACATTTAAGTTTTAAAACGTGTATCCGAGTAATCCAACTCTCTAAGTTCACAAATTTGCAATTCTAAAATTATAAACAAATTATACGGATTTTGGTTTGAAGATACTACGTATATTTTTGGATTAAAATAAACTAATTAATTAGACCGTCCTTGTAAATGATGTGAGTGGTGGAAATGTTTCATTAGAATAAACCAGCTAATTAGCTAGAGCTAATTGTACTTAATTGACCAAATCAATTGTATAGTTTGTTACGTGGAAAAAAAGGTCCCATCTAACCTGCATATGGTATGTTTAATTTTGATAATCTCACGCAAATACAAATTTGGCTAAATGCTTAATCTACTTTTTTCACCAGCTAATGTGGTCGGTTTAGCCAAATCTGCACATCATGAATTGTTATATCCTAAATGTAATCTTGAGAAATTGCTGGATGTAGATGTTGATTAGTCGTTGTAATAGTAGATGAGATGATTGAAAGAAATAGTTGGAATAGTTATAATGGTTAGAACTTAGATAAATTTGTTCTTTATCGGACAAATATTTTTTAACGGAGGGAATATGTAAGTTACGTGTTAAGCGTAATTTAGATCCTACACCCAACTAATATATGCTCTTAAGAGAACATGCATTTCAAAATACAAAGAAAATAAATATAGAAAAAAAAGTCAAAACATTTATTTCAAAATATAAACTAGTACAAAACATGATTTGCATATTCATTAATAAGGTGAACTAAATTTTAAATTATAGAACATAGAATAATAAGTAACTACGGAGTGTACAATTAAATAACATGTAAGCATAGTAAAAATTAAAATGAACAGTATCTGAAAGCGTAATGGACATTTTGTATATTCTCGGGTGAATAACCTAACAATTGCAAATTATTATCCAACCAAATTGGGTGGCACATACGGTACTAATTGCTTGCTAAATCAAGAAGAGTGATTTTTGGGATTTTATAATTTTTTGGTTTGAATCTACACCAGGCTACTACTATATGAGCTGAAAATAATGTTTTGATTTTTTAAATGCTAAGTCAACTTTGGCTGATAACAATCTTGTTAGTATTACGATTATATTAGTTACAAGAGAGAATGAATATAATATTATTTTAGTGGTTTATAATTTATTGTAAGCAATTATAAAGAGTGATGATATAAATGATTGTAATTCCATGCTGTCAAATACACAAAATTTAAAAAAATATTGCAAGCTTTTAATTTTATGGGCCATATAAGGTATGGACGTACAGTTGTCCATGATATGATGAAATCCAAATTGAACCAATTTTATTAATTGGTTCATCGTCTCCATGCTAAAAGATAAGCTTGAAAAGCAATTTTGTGTGGACGTACTTTTAGACAAATGTGAAATGGCAATGTGATCCACAATTTTTTTTTGTTTTTAGGACGAAATTTTGATAGGCTTTTACATTATCGATCTAAAAAACGATGGGTTTTTTTCTGACTGATTATAAATTGTCGTATAATTAGAAACTTTAAGACTAAAACTCACTTTTAATTTTAGCTTTCATACTTCATAATTCGATTCTAAACAATTTAGATGAGCGGTTTTATAAACGTACAGTTAGGGTGATGATAAAGATATTGGTTGAACCAAATTTTATTTCAAGCTATTTGAATTAAGTTGGACAAACCATTAAGCAAAACCCGTTTTGTTACTTAATGATATTACTAAAGGTTAATCAAAACTCAAGGAAAAGTTGAATTTTGACTCTCAAGATTGTTGAAAGTCAATTAGTTTAGACTTGCTAAATCCATACTTGTAGAATACACCAGTAACACATGAAAAACTAAATCAATTAATTACAATATAATAGAATTCAAGTCGTTGCAAAATAATGTGGAAAGGATATTTAATTTCTAGAAAATCAATTAATCACAATATAGTGGAACTCAAGTCGTTGCAAAATAATGTGAAAAGGATCTTTAATTTAATCTTCAGAAATCTCGTCATTTTTCAGCCATTAGTTTCTTGAAAGCCAGGCCAAAATCGATCAATATAATGACAGACAATTTATTGCAAATAATGCAATTACTTCATATCTCTAGAATAATGCATACAAGAGGATTACATTGTGATGTTCATATCCTGTAGGTAATAATAGACCCTTATAATTTTCCTTCGTGTCGAGAAACTCCTAAAATGCATTTTTTTTATATGAAACAAAACATTTTAACGTATTACGTACAATTAAGCATAAATGGAATAAGTACGTACAGTTAATTTCCAAATCTAGCAATTAATAAAGTCTATAGAAATCTATAGAACTTGATTAGTTGTGATAAGGAAATGTACAAAGATTAGATCTCCAAGTTTTTACCATAATTCTTATGATTCGTATAAAGTACTAGAAATCGCTTTATAATGGGAAGTAGACAATAACGGCAATAATGTAGTGTAGTAGGCATCAAGGTCCGAATTTGACATTATCCTAGATCTTACTGTCTGAATACATGTAGTAAATTTAAACACACAATTTATCTTAGGAAAATGTATTTTATGACTTGATCATCTAATGGTTTAATTGCTTACTCTTAACATTGAAACTTTAGCACGCCAATATATTCTATTAAATCATTAATTCGATAGTGTAAGATATTTGCAATTAAACCGTATGATTTTGTCAAATACTTCCTTCTTCTCAAACTTAAATGTTGTGCTCATTTGAAATATAAATAATTAGATGGTTTTGATATTTCATTCCTTGCATGAACCATAGCTTAGTGACATTGGGAACAGTGAAAAATTTGTGAGGGATGATACTCCGTACAATATAAAGCCAATTTTATCACTCTAACAAGGCAACAATCAATTCAAATTGTTAGTTTAGTTGATTTCCTAACAAAATGATACGTAGTATAATATTTTATTACAAGAAAAGAATAAAAAATATACCAATATTCTATTACTCCGTATTAATGATAAGTAAATTAATATAGTTGGATTAACCTTATACTCAAACCATTACCAGGCCAATCCCTGTCTTTGACAAGGATTACAAGTAATTGATAAGGATATAATTGATACATTAAACATGCAAGCATGACATGCCCATAACTAACGCCGTTCCTCAACGGTTTGTAAATAATTATCAATCAATCAATGAACCCATCAATATTAAAGTTTATAAATTTTTTTTGAAAGAACATCAATATTAAAGTTTGTTCAATTTATATTCTTGTATGAAAAGTTTAGGGCCCACGAATAATATTAAAAAACAAAAACCACAATAATCACAAGAATGCAAGGTTCACACATAGTAGAATTCATAAGCTATTGACTTCAATTTAATAAACTATTCACGTTTTTTTTTATACGAAGTATTTTATTTAATTTTAGAATAAACTCGTCACATATAAATACGTGCATGCGTGACATTAGAGGAATACAAACAAAAGGGAGAATCGGGAGAGAAATCAAAGATGAAATATTTCATGGGAAATGATGAATTATTCATAATATCTTACTACAAAAAAATCATTAATACAATAGTGATTTATAGTATGATTATAGCAACATTTATGCAAATACATGGACACGCCATAGAATTTCCAGAAAAAGGAAAAGTGCCAGCATTCATAGTATTTGGGGATTCAATAGTTGATCCTGGAAATAATAATTACATAGAGACTGTTGGAAGAGCAGATTTCCCACCTTATGGGAGAGACTTTCCTGGAGGTGTAGCCACTGGAAGATACAGTAATGGCAAAATTCCCTCTGATTTCTTTGGTAAGTTAGCTTCTACTTTGGTCTTGTCCTTCTTTCTGGTCGCATCGTCTTGTATTTATGTCGATGGTCTTTTCAACGAGTGTCCATGAGGCCAATTTAGCCTTTTGATTAAGTTGTCATGTTCTTTTACCATGGTATCAAAGGCCAACATGATAAAAAATTCATAGGTTTAATATTCCGTTGTGATTCATATATAGTAATAAGGCATATTGTGGTTGTTATATACATGTTTTTACTTTTATTTCTTACTTTTTCTTATTATTATTGGTTGGTAGTTTATATCTCCTCGATCTAGATCATAATTATCCATGGGATTCGATCAAATGGTTTCGTTGCCCTTGTTCTAATGTTGCAAACCTAATTTATTTAGGATGGAATATTATTTTATTTGTCAATAATTCATTAAACCAAATCACCAACTAATCCCATTGTATTGTGTACGAAACTTGTCCATCCTACCTTTATATATAATATAATACTATGATAATTGATAATATATAACAATATGTTTTAAATTTCTTCATTTATTCTGATTAGTTGTTCCTTGATATGTTATCTTATACAAAATGAGTCGTACGCATGTATAGTGATTCAGCTTAATAATTTGTTTCTTATAGCTGAAGAACTTGGAATTAAAGAGTTTGTGCCTCCATATTTGGATCCAAAGCTCAATATCAATGACCTCGTTACCGGTGTTAGCTTTGCATTTGGTGCTGCTGGTTATGATCCCGACTCTGCAAAATTAGCGGTATCTCTCCTTCTCTTGCCCCTTTCCAAAAATCACTTATTATAGAATCTTTTTTTTTTTTTTTTTTTTTTTTTTTTTTTTTTGTTGCGACTTGTTATTTGGTTACATCAAAATATATATGATGTGACATAATTTTGTTAATTCTAATCAATACTCCATCAGTCTTTTCTTAATCTGCTACATCTGTTTTTTTACGATCTCCAAGCTAAGCTGAGACACACTTTGGACCATTAATAACTCCAATCATGCATTATAATAAGTTAATAGGATTTAGTCAAGTTCTATTGATCATGTCCTCTTCTTAATAATTGTACTTTTAAAATTGTCTTGGGGAGTTGGGGTTGCAAGTTTCTCATCTAATACAAATACGATATACAAGCTTAGCTACAGCGATTACAATCAAAGTTAGAAAACTTTGATTTTTAAAAGGCAAATATATATAGCAAATAAAAGATGGAGAGAGTAGCTTATGAGTTGCATATGTAGTGGTGTAAAAGGATGTGTGTAATTTCGAGTTAATTAAACTAAATGGCCTGGTATGACTAATTAATGTGTATGATTGCAGAATGTGATGACATTACAAGATCAATTGAATTTGTTCAGAGGATATATAAAGAAGCTCAAGGATGCAGTAGGAGAAAACACAACATCCACCATCATTTCCCAAAGTGTATACCTAGTTTGTGCAGGAAGCAATGACATTACCAACACGTATTTCTCATTACCATTTGCAAGACTTCATTACAAGAATGTCTCAGCATATACTGGTGTGATGGTCAACTGGGCGTCCTCTTTTGTGCAGGTAACTACAAAGGACAAATGAATATATATAGTTTGATAGCTAAATTAATTAGGCTAATTATTAAGATTTGATAAACATTGTTTATATAAAAATTAACTAAGCTTTGAATAATTTTGTGTAAGATGTGAGTCCCATCTAATAGAGTATAGAGTATAAAATCTATTCGTCATGGACCTCAACCATCAATTTAAACTTTTAGTTGAGCTGGTCCACTAGCACCAATTTGGGCGAGAGATCAACTGCCCTGCAAGTAAGACGGAAGTAGGCCACTCCTCTACATCTTCCGCTCCCATGCATTGAATTTAGATTGCCCTAATTTAGTTGGAAAATTTTATCTATATAAACATAAATAATTTTTGTGTTTCTTATTTAAAATTTTGATTACGCAATTGAAACTTTCAGGAACTATACGCTTTGGGGGCAAGAAGGATAGGTGTGATCAGTGCACCACCATGCGGTTGTCTTCCATCACAAAGAACCTTGCATGGCGGTCTATTTAGATCTTGCGTAAAGGAAGAAAACGAAGCTTCGATTCTTTTCAACAATAAGCTCTTTATCGAGTTAAATTCCCTTAACCAAAAGCTTGTAGGATCCAGATTCGTGTACCTAGACATCTACAACCCATTGCTCGATCTCATAAACAACCCTTCTCAATCAGGTAATAATTAAAATACATACTATTTCTTAGAGTTTTTATCGCTTTATTAAATGCATGTGTCATGCATGCATCACGTGTAATAATGATAAAATGAACATACCAATAATGTATTAGGCTAGTGACAAATAATGAGGGTTTGAATATGATAATCATAGTTTTGAATCCCCCTTCCCCAATTAATACGAACATGAATATGATTTACACTTTAACCACAAATTTTGATTCCAATTTTTTTTTTTTTAACAGGATTCACAGTTGTAAATAGAGGATGTTGTGGCACCGGAAACATAGAGGTTTCTTTTCTTTGTACAAAATTTGATCCTGGGACTTGCAAAAATGCCTCAAAATTTATATTCTGGGATAGTTTTCACCCAACTGAGGCTGCTTACAAAGTCATAGTCCATGAGGTCGTCCAAAAAAGCATAGACAATTTCTTCTAGATTTTATTTTCATACATAAAAAAAAAAGTGTACTAATTTGATTGGAATTACTCGTACAAAGGTGGGAAAAAAAAAATTCTTCTATTCATGATATACGAATTGTATTATTTATTAGGATTCAAATAGAAAATTCAACAAAAACTTTCTAGTGTGTTTCATATGGAGTATTATATTTGACTTTATTGTTTGCAACAAAATTCTGTCCCATATTTTATGTTCTCTTTAATGTCACTTGTTTTAATTAGAACCTTTGAATGTGTTGTTTTTAAACTTCCCAAAAAATGCGCAAGATCTTTAATTTTAGCATGAACCAATTAATAGTCCAATACAAAATAGTAGACTCCACAAATATGGTACATTCAAAATTGGACGAAATTGTTGGACTTGATTTGTTTTGATCTAGATTGTCATGGACTGTAAAGTTTTTGAACTAAACTACTAATTAAGTAGATCTAAATGTGAATGTACTTACTTTTCACGGCTACTCTTGGAGGCTCAAATTAACATCAAGGCATACATACTCTTTATACCGCAGTATTATTCCATGAAAACATCATAATGTGTTTCTCAAGCTATTATTTAGAGGATATGGCATGCTAAACTTCTAAATATGGCTAGAAATTCACCTTAAACAAACTTGTCCATTATACATGCATACTGACTTACCCCTCTATTCTTGATGAGCGAAGACCTTGAGAAAATATTGTACAAGGCAAATGGGTCTATGTTTAAGGCATGTATTTGCGGAGCCAATAATAAAATATGTTATATGGGAATACTAGATTCATCGGAGAACGTCAACTGCGCTTCAATGGAGAACATTGAGTCCGCTTCAATGAAATAACTGAGAGAGGTAGGAATGGAGGTCCTTTAAAAGCCATGACCCGCCCGCCATATTATGGGTTAGATTCGTCTGATAAATAAATGGGACGGGCCCTTTATACGATCGTCTAATTATGGGATAAGTGGGCTTTATAAGGGATTTAAGTAAACCTGTTTTAAATATTTTCACACACGAAAGCTTGTATCAATTCTTTGTAAGTTTTTTAGTTTTTTTTCTTTTAAAAAAAAGCAGCTGAAATTACATTAATTAAACTGAGTTTACAACAAACGAAAGGATAGTAAAGTAACATAAGTTACTATTGGCATAAGAAGCCCTTACACAATACCAATTAAGGTTATTGACGACATTTACCTTTAAGCTATTACAGCGAGTGAGGACAACGCAGATAAGGCTTACCAACATTCATTTAAACATGCGATGAGACTATTGATAGAACGAGGGAAGTTGGTGATGATGTTTCGTGTTGTGCAAGGTATTTTCTAACATACAATTAAAAGTCTATGAATGTTTCTGATATAACGGAGACAACCCAAAATCAGTATGTCTTACCCTAAGGGACCCTAATAATTCAAATGGATAAAATCCTCTTGAGATCTATGCTTCATTCATGTCAATCACATTTCTTTGCGATCTGACAAAACCATATCTTATACTCCGTCCGTCCCATAATATAGTTCCTATTGTGTTTTTTTCACGGTATTTATAAAATGGGAGGAAAAGTGGAAGAAGTACATTAAAAGTGGAAAAAAGCTAAACAAAAGTACAAGACAAGTGGATAATTTAAGGGGAAAAAAGTAAAAAGTACAATTATAGACAAAAGTTAGAGAGAGAGTGAAAAAAAGTACAATGTAAGTGGATAAGTTAAGAGTAAATTAGAAAGTTCAATGAATAAAGTAAAAAAAATAAGGGTGTAATGGTCTTTACATACTATCCAAAAATAAAAACAGGAACAACATTTTGGGTCTCTAAAATAGGAAAACATAAACTATATTGTGGGACAGAGGGAGTATATTTTCTCATACAAAGTTATAATGTTGTAATGACTTTTACCGTCATCACATACAAATGGGTTTAACAACACCTACTACCATCCTCCTTCAACAAGGGTTTATGTAAACTTGAAATTGAAATTTTGCTCCATCACCCAACAAACATAAGTAACACCACTTCCATCAAAGAAACACATTTTTATTAAAGGAACACATTAAACGACTCTATTTCATCCTCCAATTAACCCTGAATTTGACTTGTCTTCGCTTTTCGATCTATTATTTTAAGTACTTCTAAAATCTAAATTTTATTTTTTTTTTAAAAATTCACTTTAATTTATTAATCCGAACTTTCAGCGATTTACTCTCAATAATCCCAACTTACATTTATTCGGGAGCACTATGAACTTTTGGGTGGATTTTCTTCTACTAGGTCGATTTACCAGTG